GGAACAGAACAAGTGCTGACATTTCTTTCAAAGAACTGATCATGAAATCTGCTTTTGATATAATTTCTCAGTATGTTTCCAGAGCCATACAAAGACAGAATTGTGTGCATGATATTCATTGTGGCCCCAAACGCAAGAAATGCGAGGAAGGACGAAATATTGACTGCAAATAACCAGCAGCAGAATTCCTACCGACTTCCTGGGAGCCAGCGCTCCACAATCATGCTCCAAATATGTAATCCATGGTCACAGTAAAAGAGTGGGATGTTTAGGTAACGGAATTTTTAAAATTATTGCCACAAAAATAGAGACTGACCATGCATCACCATGACCAGTCATCTTCTGGAAAATTTATGCAGCACAATCGACGTGAAGACTTAACCAATGCCCTAATTTGGTAGTAGTACAAGAACTGAAACACCCTTCAAATTCATTCAGTTGTCTTTCTCCCTTGGCTTAAGGGCCTCCTACAGTATTCTGTAGCAGGGATCAGTCAGGATGAGCTTCTTTTAAATGGAGAGGGGTGCAGCTTTTGAGAGAAGACAAAATATTTTAACTTGAAGAAAGAGAATGAATGGCAATGATTTGACATCTGATAGTGATCTATACCTATTCATACAGACTGACTATCAAATCTGGAAAAAAAAATATACATTTGTAGCATTTTGTTGATAATAATATTTTTAGGGTACGTATATTAATAAACATCTCACTTTTTCCTAGTGTTTACTGTCAAACTGTTTAAAAATGTCATCTGAAAAGAAGTAGAATAGTTTGACTTTATTCAGTAACACGTTCTTTGTGCATTGTATTATCCTCGCTGGACAATGGAAAGCATCTAAAAAATGCTGGTTTTGTAAGTCTGAAATGAGAGGAATTACAGGCAATAAAAACAAATGTGAAACTCTGACGCACATTAAAACTGTTATAATTACACAGCATGTAAGACAGAGATAAAATATTGATACCACATCTATCACAGAAAAGTATTGTTATTTATATTGCCATAGGAAAATTATAATTATTATCACAAGAAAGTCCTATCACTGAAAGGTGAAACCAATACAAAACTTGAGTAACTCAGCAAATACAAAACTTGAGAGAACAACTCGGGTGGTTTCCCTGTGACTGTTCAACTGTTCACATATGACCCTAATTCAGCAGCAGGATCAGTTTTACGTAGGCTTAAAAATTAATGAAGACAACTCAAATGATGCTAGCAGATGAGCCCTCTTGAAGCCTCAGAAGAACAATATCTCAGAAGAACAGATCACAGAAAAGAAAATATTATTTTGTCAGTTCCTGCAAGCACATTGAATTGAAGGCTAGAATTGTCCCCATGTAAAAAGCACTTTGCAGACCAATGTTTCTTCGGCATGTTTATAATCCATTGATGAAAAATTAATGCCACAGATGTCATAAAATCTTTCTATACAGCATTCAGAACAGCCAGGTAAAAAATTTTAAGACAGTCTCGTCCACAAGTCGGTCACTCCTGCAATGGAGTTTAACAGTGTAAGCCAGCTGTGTGCTCTGGCACTCAGAACCCCTCCGTGCCCTGGGCTGCACCCAAAGCAGCGTGGGCAGCAGGGCAGGGGGGGATTCTGCCCCTCTGCCCCACTCTGGGGAGACCCCCCTGCAGTGCTGCTCCAGCTCTGGGGGCCCAACACAGAAAGGACATGGAGCTGCTGGAGCGAGTCCAGAGGAGAGACAGCAAAGTGATCAGAGGGATGGAGCAGCTCCCCTACAAGAAAAGACCGCGAGAAATTGGATTATTCAGCCTGGAGAAGAGAAGGCTTCAGGGTGACCTAACTGGGGCTTTCTAGAACCTGAAGGAACCCTGCAAGAAAGATGGAGAGAGACTGTTTACAAGGGCCTGGAGTGACAGGACAGGGGTGAATGGCTTCAAACTGACAGAGAGTAGGTTTAAATTAGACATTAGGAAGCAATTACTTACTGTGAGGGTGATGAGGCCCTGGCACAGGTTGCCCAGAGAAGTTGTGGCTGCTCCATCCCTGGAAGTGTTCAAGGCCCGGTTGGATAGAACTGAACAACCTTGGATAGCGGAAGGTGTCCCTGCCCATGGCAAAGGGGCTGGAATGAGATGATCTCTAAAGTCCCTTGCAACAGAAGCCATTCTGAGACTCTGTGATAATTTAGACAAAGGAAATTACAGACTTCAGGTAGCTCAGTGTGGAGTGCAATGAAATGGGAAAGTAGGAAGATGCACATGGCCAGTTAGACCAGGTTGTGCTCTGTGCGTTAACATTTCCCCATCTGGCACCAAGAAAGCCAGCCAGCTGGAAGCTGCATTGGATATGCCCCAACCCAGCTCATTTTATATTTGCACTTAGTCCATTTGATAACTGCACTGACACTGCACATGATCGGAAAGTGAGCGTAAATTATATCTGTCCCATTGATGAACAATCTCTGTGGGTGGCTATCTCTTGCCAGGAAACCAGACAAAATCTTATCACATATTCCTGTTATCCAAGGGGTAGGGAAAAATCTGTAAACTCATATATGTGGACATAGGAAATACACAGGGGAAGAAGATCTAGAGTGCTGTAAGGGAGTTTTAGTGTGAAAAGGAATTAGGCTCTTTAAGATCATGTCTGCATGGACAATTTCAGACAGTCAGGAATTAACATCGCCATTTACTGAGCTGGCAGGACATGGCACACTTTTGACCAGAAGCCAATATAAAGATGCCCAAAAATCTCAAAATAATAATGTGATCTCAGCCTTTGGAATGACAACTGCTGCTTTTCCTTTGTTCTGTCGCTTAACAACGAAGTGAAGGAATTCAGTGCTTCAAGGCATTCAGGTGTAATTTGTCAATGAGATTCCTACAGCAAGGCAAAAATTCAAATATTCCCATATCTTAAGTAGAGGTAGTATACAAAAAACTTGTGGCAAATGATTCCCTCATTGTGAAGGACTTGTACACGCATAGTCTCAGAGCCAACCTATAATCCTGTAATGGAAGCAGATAGGGAGCCAACAGAAACCTACAGAAATGTAACACAAATGTGTAGGACTGTATGATATCACAATATTCAGTATTAACTTAGTGTAAACTATTAGCTATAAATCACACTGTTCTGTTCTAGAGCTTCAGGTAGAAGTGTTAAAATAGAATGGACCCAATTGACACCAAAGACAGAAATATTTTATACACTGGATCTTCTGTTATCTTGCCTTTTAAGTCACTTCTAATACACTAATGCACAAAACTGATTGTTTAAACCATGCCTTTACATAACAAGATTTATGGTTTATTCCTAATATAAAGTACATAATCATATCACGTATATTATTTGAGCTTTGGTGATCTAGTTCTTGCATTTTGATTCTAAAGATTAGTTCCAGGATTTCTTGTTCTTCCCATTACAGTCTTGCCAAAATAGTAACACTGTCAGCCAGACCTCAGAGGCAGATAGTTCTACCCTGTAGACCTTGAACATGTTATTTTCTCTTATATGCAATTCTTCAGTCTGTATGTAGGAATAAAAAAAAGAATAAAATAAAATTGTGATGTCACCTTCTAGGAGCTAGACTGGGTTTTGCAAACTTCCTAGTTTTAAACTGAAAGGGAGTAGGTCAAGATTAGATATTGGGAAGAAATTCTTTCCTGTGAGGGTGGTGAGGCCCTGGCACAGGTTGCCCAGAGAAGCTGTGGCTGCCCCATCCCTGGAAGTGTCCAAGGCCACGTTGGATGGGGCTCTGAGCAACCTGGGATAGTGGAAGGTGTCCCTGCCCATGGCAGGGGGTTGGAATTGTATGATTTTTAATGTCCCTTCCAATCCAAACCACTCCTTGATTCTATGATTCCCTCCTCCCAAATTTCCACAAACTGTATTATCCTATGGTTATACAGAAATACTGAAAAATAAAACCAAGCTTTAAAGCTTTGGATGCAATGTGGGAAAGGTGGAAGTTATTGCATGCTCCAAAGCTCGCAGACTGGATAGGTCTGTGTGTGCTCTATAACTAAATTTCTCCTCTGAGACTTGGAGTTTCAAATGTAAGTCGAGCTCCAAATATGATCTTTTATTTCTGTGGTCTAGAGTGCAATTTTGCTTGCAGGGAACAGAGGAAGACTAAAGGACTAAAACTGTCAAAGGTAAGAAAAAAATACCTACAGTTCTCTGTGACAACCACAATATTCAAGAGCTGAGATTAAACAACCCGATGTTCCAATGGGAAAGATACCAACATGATGTCAACACCACAGTTGACAGCAAAATCTTACTAAGCTTCTTCAGAAAGTGCTTTTACATACTGTTGCAAGTCAGAATACAAACCTCTTTATTAGGAGAATGCTGATAGACTCCTAAGGCTCTGGCTTTAAGGGGAACACTCCGATGCCTTTAGTAAAAAGGAATAGTGCCTCATGTCCAGGCCTAGAAGTAAAACCAAGTTCATCTAGGAATGTGCTCATACCACATTTCCACAAGTACACATCTATTGTGAGACAGCACTAGACAACCTACTTCATTTGGTACTGCCTCTACATTACAAAAAGATCCATGTGTACATCTGTGTCATCTTTGGTGCAGTTGACGAAGACAAGAATTTCACTGGCTTAGGAACAATAAATAAGTAGATGACTTGTTAACACTTTTTTTTTTGTCTGCCAAAAAAAAAGAAACTGATCAGTCAATCAAGAAGTATCAAAAATAAGACCATATTTTCATTCATTTGCAGGGTATTTTTGTGTACACAGAAGACAAAACCTTTGGCTTTGATTACAAAAACAAAGCGCAGAAAAAGATTTAAATAAAATTCTAAACTTTCTGTAATACATATTTCACACTGTCAAATACTTTATGCAACCATTTGGTGTTTCCTTATTGCTCTACGAGACCAATTATGAAAAGTGACTGCTGGTGCAAAAAACCAGCCAAACAAAAAACCCCAAAGTACTGCTGAATAACAAGAACCACACTAAAAAATGCCCATAAGTCCCCCACTGAATCACAAGCTCACCATAAGAGAGATCACTCTTAGTTTATTTACATACCTAAGCGTGAACACTTATTTTCCCTTATTTCATTCAGCACTCTTTTAAAACTAAGGCCCCAAGTCTACAATCAATGGAGTGCAGGCACAGAAATTCCACTCCATCTGCTGTTAGCAAGACTAGAAAGACCTATGACTTGATCCAAAGTCCAGTAATGTCTGTGGGGAGCTTTCCTACTTCCTTCTTGCACTCAGAAAGGGCATCTGAGGTCAGCAAGCTGCTCTCCTTATTCTGTCAGAAATTCCACTGAGGCAGTGCAGTATCAGTCTCCACATAATTACATACATCTTCTTCCTGAAACTGAGGTCAGTCACATTAATCGTAATTTCATGAGAAAATTACTTTTGGAATTGAAGTAGCTCTGTAAAACAGAAATAAAATACATACTATACATTGGCTATGGTAGTGTTTTGCACTACTCTAAAAAGATGCACTGTTTAGTTTTTAAATTTTTCTATTACCAGAGCTGAAGTTCTTTATAAATGATTAAAGAAATGCCTGACAACACTCTTATGTTTCAGCATTGATTCCTCTGTTATACATCAAAAATAGTAAGAAATAATAAGCTCCTCAGGCTCACCTGAGGCAATGGACTTGGGTATATACTGTGGAAATAGAGATGGATTTATATCAATATTCAAGTAAGTTTGTCTCAATTTTTTAAAATATCAAAAATAACGATGAATCACATCAACACATGATGCCAAATTTAAAACAGACATAACAGGGAAATTTTTTCATCAGTGCTACAAGTTACCTAACACTTCAACCATGGGTTACTAGAAAATGTAATGAAAACAACATCATAAAAAACCCAATTTTTTTTTCTCATGGATTTTTTCCCCTTCCATATTTGCAATCTGATAAAAGCAGTAAAACAAATAAATAAATAACAGAACATCATCCACACATTTCTATCAAGCATAGTTTCAGATCAACCTTGAATCAATAATACAATCCCAAAAGATTAGAATATATTCATCACTTGCTGAATTGAGATTTGCAGCTTCACAGATCACACTGTGTCAGTGGTACTGGGAATGTCAGTCTCTGTTTTCTTCTGTGGTTGGCTCTTCCTTTAATAAAACGTTTAACTGTTTCTGTGCACATGAAAGGAAAAGTTCCAAACTATGCAGATTTCTCTGACGGACAACTTGATCAAGCTGTAGAAATAAATAATAATAAAAAAAAAAAGATAGATCAACTTTAAAAAAAACCTGGAAACAAACGCCAGGGTTTCTCAGCAAAAATTCAACCATATTAAACAACAACAATTCAACAATCAAATGTGACAACAACAGAAGAACCTGAGTAATTTCAGTGCATGCAATTTAGTAATAACTTCTCAATGAAGTATTTGAGTTTCTTCAAAATAAAATGTACATAAGGCTAAGAGTATCTTTAAAGCTGTCAAATGCTGCACAAGATATTTAAGAATTCTAAACAGCCTAGCTGCCATACCAGGAAAATCCCCCTGGAATCTTTTAAAATTACAGCTGCTGCTTTTATAAAAGATACTACTTCTGCTTTAAAATGGCCAGTACTTGTAACCACATATTCAAAACTTCAAAGCCCACTGTGAATTTAAATGGCAGCATGTTTAAATAGTTCCCAGAGGAAAAGTTGTAATACTTTCTGCCTACTTTGTTTACTCCTACATTTTATTGGGTACTCTACTGTCAGACAATGTGAACTATACACTTACTTGCAGTAAAGACAACGGCCCTTCCTTTCTCACCAAAAAAGATAAGAACACCTTAACAAGGCTTAGTAGGTTATATCATATATATGACATAAAAATAGGGTTTACTGAAAAGCATTTGAATTTTCTTAATAGCATAATATTAATACATGAAACACACTGCAGAATTCCTTCCATTTGAATTTTGAAGTTCAAATGTCCAACAGATAATATCACAACTGAGAGATGTTTTCAACTTGACTATCCTTAAATTCAACCAAATACATACATAACAATGACACAGGGGGAGACTGAAAGGTAGTGTAACATAAAAGTTATACCACTGGAGAGAAAGGAAGTAATGGAATTTTGAAGAAGTCCAGCACTTCTGTCAGACTGCTGTACACAAGTCCATATGCAATATCTTGACTGATGGCAAATGGACATGCTTTTCAAATATCGTGCCTCTTTTACCTCACACTCACAGCTTTAATTACAGCTTTCAACAAAAACTGATCCTGTGGTATCACTCTGCACATATATACTGTTCAATCAGCAGTCCAGTTAGTTGCTCTAACAATCACTTGAATGGACATTTTGTTTTATAACAAACTATTTTTTTACATATCAACACAGAATGCAAGGCAAAGTTAGGATAGCTCGCACTTCACTTTGAAAATGCACTCAGGAAAAAGCTGCACTGCTGTGATTTAACACACAAAGGGAAGCATTTATATGAGCCTGTGCTTTGCTGCTCCATAAGTTGCTCTAACATGCAAAAGCAGGCTCTGGAAGCTGGAATATTTTGGCAACTTGTTTCAACAAAGATGAATGTGTCAAGTCTAGTCACCAGCAGAACACACATGTATTTTCTAGATGCCACACAATCATAAGACTCTCCTTCAGTAATAGAATCATAGAATGGTTTGTGTTGTAAAGGACTTTAAAGATCACCAAGTTCCAACCACCCCTGCCATGGGCAGGGACACCTTCCACTATCCCAGGTTGCTCAGAGCCCCGTCCAACCTGGTCTGCTTGGGCTTCTACTTCCACAAATTTCCAGCTGCTGTTCCAACTTTTGCATCTCAGCAAAAGCAGGCATTAATGATCCATGCACAGCCTGATGTGAACCCTGCCCACTGATTTACAGCAGATTTTACAGCAGATCTAGTTCAATTAAATTTCAGAAAAGTCTGTTCTTGATATATTCAAGTAACAGCTGCTACTGACATGAAAATGGAAGAAACAGCAAACTGACCTCTAAGAAAGCTGTATCTAGAATTGACAGTCTGGAACAAATGACCAAAATAAACACACTGCTGTGACGGTGCATTTCCTCTGATTTGAAATGTACCTTGCCTCCTTCCCATTTTCTGGTCCAAAACATACAGAACATTTTGCTCGGGGAAACTTGAAGATGTTTTTGTGCTTGTGATCTATATTTCTTTGGGGAATGGGCAGATATAGTGCAATTCACATAATATCATCTGTTATGTCTTAAACATGAGAAACCTCTTTCAGTACACATATTATGCCATCAGATTCTCTTGCTTCTGGTATATCAGCTGGTGGAGCTTAGAAACTGAAATTCATTGGCTTCCTTTTATTGTGTATTATATCATCTATACTCCTAGATTTCTATCTATTTTCTACTCTTCACTGAGCTTAGACCAAGAGCTTTGGCTCCATTTTTTTTTCTTGCAGCCCTTCCTTGCAAATTCCGCTTTAAAGAGATCAAAGTAGCTCACCAATGTGTGTTCTGATTTGCTGCTGTTAACTTTCTTTACCAAGGCAGCAATCTCAAATCGTATACAATTAAATTTATTTCACCAAGTACTAATGTAAATGTTTAATGTGTGGAGTATGAACAAAGCAGAATTTCTTCAGGCTTAGCAAGATTTTAAAAGTCTCAAATGAACTAAGCACACATTTGAGAAGTCTTTGTTGAACTCGTTAGTTGGTAGTCTCCATTTGTGCATAAGAAAAATTTATTGCTTGTTAAAAGTTTATGTAAATTCAATAACATAAAACTTCACAATTCAGTTCCCCCTTGTTTGCTCAGCTTATGAGTAAGCTTTGCCTTGAGCAAGACCTTTTAAAAATCTTCCATGCTACAATAAATGACAAAACAATCCAAAAAGACTTGGGATCTTCACATTACACAAAACGAGAAACAACAAAATGATGCTGGCTTTGAAAATGGTACATTTGAATGTATTCAAAAGGAGAATATTCTCATTGGAGAAATTGGCTTGGTTGGGAAATAGAAACAAGTCCAATGAAGCTTTGTTATATAATATATTGTTTAACTAACTGTTAGCAAAGGACACAGTTTTTTTGAAAAGTTCCTCAACACTGCTGTGCTCCTGCTTGCATAATATACCCTAAGATGTGAAAATATGTAAGTAAGGCATTTTAAATCTCGTTTTTCCAAACAGTCTTCCCTCTATATTTTTAGGTTCTGTTCACCTCATGGAATGATCTCATTATTTAAACAAACATAAACAGACATCTGGCAAATTCAAACTGAATGTGACTCATATGCAAATGTGATCAGTATGAATAACGTATTTGGGATGGAGCACTCACACAACCCACCTGACCCAACTGCTCTAATTTTACAGATACTGAAAAATACATCAGGTTGGTTCAGATCTACCAAGAGAGGGCATTATTTTACATCCTACCATCACTGTTGTTATTACTAATCATTGTTTCTCTTCCACCATATGAAATCTATTAGTTCAAAGTTCCCAGTTCATTAGACTGTGTCCTACTAGCACGGCTTTAATTAGCTCAGTTGTAATGGTCCTGAACTTCATTATTTTAAGTTAGTCAACAGTATCTTTTTAACTCTGTACAGATTTTTTTTTTCTTCACAACCAGAGGTTGCCTCTCTAGGCACTTGTATGGACCCTACTGAGAAACTGGCTATGAAAGATTGGGAAAAGCACTTCCCGAACTCCATAGGGTCTAAACAGTCCTCAAATTCCCACAATCATTCAGACTTTGTATTTACCAAAAAGGAGCTGAGTCTTGCAGGGCATTCTAACACATTCACTGCTGGTTTTTTTTCCCTTCAGATTAAACCTTCAGTCCACTTTTGAGGTCTAGGTGTGGTTCCACAAACCCTTGTGGCTAAAGATGGCTGGATGAGACACACCGTGGGGTCCCACCTTAGTCACATCCATGGACCACCCAGGATGACATGGCTTCGAGCCATGCAAGGCTTGACCTAAAGGGAGGCACAGCCTCAGCAGAACTCCTATCAAGGGATGCGAGAATTCGACTTGGGAAATAAAAAAAAAGGTTCATGCCTGGTGCATTGCCACCAGGCAACTGCTTCCATCCCAGGCTGCTCTGTTTTCCTTTAAGCCATCCCATCTTCCCCTCTATCATTTCATCCATACATAGCTCAAAAAACTCCAAAGTAAACAATTATTCTTAGCTCTACATTTTCTTAGCTTAATCATGTCATTCAAATTTTCTGTGAAATGGAATGAAAGTCTCCAGGGCTGATGTCTAAAGCAGAAATTAGTTTCTTATACAATTAACTACACATGCACATCCTCCATACCTTCCCCTTACAATATCTACCTACAAATAGGTATGTTTTCGTGGCATACATGCTCATTTTCCTCTAGTGAATATTCACCAACCCTGTAAATATTTCAAATTTCTAGAAGAGAAACCCAGTCAGAACTCTATAAATTATGTCAGAATTATATTATCCATTTCTAGGAAGTAATAAAACATCATATGGAAAATATAATTTTAGGTTTAGCACTGAAGGTTTATGGATGAATCCTGATCTCAACATTGCAAAGATATATTTCATTATTAATTTCACTGTGACCTGAAGTTCACCCAGAAAAGTGAAGAAAGCAACATTAACGTTACATATGGCTCAATAATTTTCCCTTTTGTATAAACTGTTTAAAAGTGTATTTTTCACAACTATTTTTCAGATAATACCATTTTCCAATACCAAATGTATTTGCAGCTGTAGAAATAGTAGCTACATTTATTTAAATATGTATTGAAAAAATCACCTGTACTTCAAATGCTCATCTGAGGATTAAATGCACTTCTGCTCACTACTCTGGCTCTGTGATATTAACAGGAGTAAAAATTGCAATCTTCCTCTTTACCACGAAATTCGACACATACAATGACCAGAGATTAAAAAAGGCCAAAGATGTTGAGGAAAAAAAAGCTCTTAATTTTACTTTTATTACTGGTATTTTCATAGCTGATCTCACATATGTAGACTGTAAAACAAATAAAAAATAATCATGCCACTATAATTTAGTGAAGCAGAGCAGTTTCCCTAAGACCATAAAATAAGAAATAAGTTTTTCAGTTCTGATGATTTCTTAGGAAATACACTAAGAAGTACATCAAGAAAACATTTTAGCAGTGATATATATGTTTATATTTGCCATATAAGGGGGAGGGTCAGTGGGAGAAGACTTAAAATCC